GGTCATCTACCAAAACCACTATCAAGTATTTCTATTTGATATGTTCTTCATGGTCATTTTTTAGTCTCCTCATTATCCGCATTTGTTTAAGTGCATTTAAAGCTTAAGATCCAAAGTCTTTTGCAAACTAGAACATTGCTATACAAGCATGTCCTCGAGATTTAGCAACATCAAGTCGCACGTATTTTAACTCACACAGTGGGTAGTGTCAATAGAGGAAATTGACACTTCAATTCACATTGACCTTCAAAGTTTCCATCCATTGAAATGAGATTGGTTTGAACTTACTACTCACCAATAAAAATTGTGACCAACAAAAAAAATTGTTGACACTGGGTTAACCATCTCAGCTCAATCACAATTGAGAAATAAAAGATCATCTCTAACGGAACTTAACAATTCAAATGCTCAAGTACTAGAATCTACTTTTTTCATACTTGGCAAAGTTCTCGATACTTATTCTCTAGAGTAGTCTTACCCACATCAGGTCTTCAATTACGTGGTTGATGCTGTCTAAAACATCATGTTCGTTTAACGGAAAAACTTATTATGTCAAATGTTATTGCATTTGGCTTGCCACCTTTAATAAGGTCAACAACTATAGATTTTGATGCCATGATCTATCAGATTTTAGATACATTTTTATTCTCAATCAATGCCCATATATGACAAATACAATTTAGTATTAACGCAAATTAACGTATACAATAGTTCAATGTTAGGTACAAAGTCGAAAGTTCACTATATTTCTAATCATCGTCTACAATCCTATTTTTTTTTTACTATAATAAACTTAATTTCATAATGCAAAATTCCATGAGTTCTAAGCGAGAATTACATTAATTCTTCTAACTTTAGACCGCCACTCAGTTGGTGAGTCAAATAGTTTTAGGTAAGATTTTCTCTAAATCTTTCAATCATCGAACTATCACTCAATTTACAATCAATAGGTCTAAATAAGGATCTCACTAATTTTATTGACCTTAGAATATATAATAATTCGTGAATTAATAGATATCAAGTAATTCAATAAGGCAATACTATAATGTGCAGTAAAAATATAAATATGCACGTTATCCAATATGACATATATCATGATATTACAAATAATTCACTTATAATCGAAAGATAAAACTCACATAATTTAAGTTTTATTATACAGATTCACAACCTCACTTTAACATGTTAACTACAACACAATCCCAACAAATGGGAAGTGACAACAACATTCTCATATTTTGCTTATCACCACAAAATGTCCCAAAAAATTTCATGCATTCCACTACGTTAATCCATTTATTAATTTTAATAAGCACGTAACATTTCAAAAAGTTCCATAACACTTACTTTTCTAGCCTTTCCTCCAAGATCGCTATAAGTGTGCACAAATCCAGTCATATCTAATGAAGCATAAAATTAGAAAACAAGTCACAATATATAAAAAAAAAAATTTATATCTGTCCAAAAATTAAT